TGGTTTTAACTTTCCAATTGTCATCTTTCCATTCTCAGCTGTAACATATATATATAGAATCCCAGATCATAAGTATGGAAACTCACAATTATTATAAGTCATCTTGGTATTCTAGTATTGTATTTATTTGAAGATTTATTGATGTTCGTATAAACAATTTTGACGTTGTAAAGGTTAACAATATTTTACTAGATATTGGATTTACTGGAACAAATACTAAAGATGATATATAAATGTTTCAAAAGGAAAATTGGGTACTTATCTTAAATTTAAAAAAAATCTTCAATGGGGAATCATATTAATGTCAAGTTAAGAAAATTCTGTATTGAAAAAGACTAATTCAATTTAGAATGAATGCTCATCATTTAGATATTGTGGCAGGGTATTTATGCATCCCTAACAACAACAAAGACACAAAGTACAGATCTGACAGTCAGTAACTGCGAGTACTCTCAGATCTGTACTTTGTGTCTTTGTTGTTGTAAGGGATGTATAAATACCCTGCCACGTCCGTTCTGTGTTTTTGTTAGATGTTTTTCTGCATTTTATCGAGCTGATGAGTTAAGCCATTTTCAGCTGATTTTTATAGTTTGTTCGTATGTTGTGCTGTAACACCACTGTCCCAGGTTAGCGCTCACCAACATGTGTAACCCCTCCACATTATTGAAGTGCCTGTCACAATTCAAGAGTCTGTAGTTCAGTGATTGTCGTTGGTTCATGTCTGTCATATATGTTTTTCGTAAATTGTTTTGTTAAAAATAAGGCCGTTTGTTTTCTCAATTGTTTCATATTTTTCATGTCGAGGCCTTTTTATAGCCGACTTTATTATACCTCAGTTATAATTTTCTATATACAATAGGTACACAATGTGTTCACTATTTTTCAAATTGCATGGGTTGATCTATTTGACCGGTCAATAGTTTGCAACTATTTGACCTCAATGAAACTTGTTGACTGCAAACGTCAATATATTTCGCAGAATTTAAACTGAAGCTACGGGATTGGCTAATAGATTTTTAAGAATTCTTTCGGGGTTATCAGACTTCATTTCAATTATTAACGTCGATTCCCGAGTCGTTCAAACACACAACAAGTCACATCAGACGACAGGATCATGGATCAGTCAGGGCGATTTGTGTGGAACCAACTGTTCTTAATTCCTTACTCGGTAAGTTCATGGGGGAAATTTGCATGTCAGACGGAAACAATTAGGCTTACAAATCAATATCGACAATATTTTTTAAAACATTTCATTCAGTCTAGAGACTTAGATATTGTTTGTTTGTCCTTTCGGTATAACAAAACACCGACCGACTGGTTATTTGGGGAAAAGTCAGTTTATTGGAAAATTGTTTACATTCAATATATGCTTCCTCAAGAATAAAATTCCTTTTCCTTTCATATGCAATAAATGTTATCAAAAATGAAATTCGTCTTCAACAAGCATATTTTTACATTTCCTACAAAATCTTCTATAATTATCGATTCTTTTATCAGTCAGGGGCATTACTTATACAAGTGACTTTTAAATTACCTATACAAGTAATGTTGAAAACAAGGCTATTTTAGATATTACTTATATAAATAACTTAAATATTATTTTTATAGGTGTCCAATTATACAGATTTTACTAAATATAACAAATTTTCACAGTCACCTGGTTATTTTTCCCATGGAATATAAAAACCAATTCCTCTGAAACACTTGTCTTTCATATCAACGCTTCTGGGTCAAAGATTGGTCTCTTGGGATTATTAAAATATCATTTTCCTTGAAAATCTTGAAGGTAGACAGATATAAATAGATAGAAACTTGTGAATTAATTAAGACTTGAAGTTATTAATAATTTGTAACCCAAAACAATTACATATGTTCCTTAGATAAGTGTTATTATTAATTCTTTCAAAGATGTATAACATAACTTATTCAAGTAATATTTTTGTCATTATTTTTAAAGTTACCCTTTATCTCTATACTCCTCTCAAATCTAATAAATTCTTAACTTTATGAGATAAAATAATGTAAAAATTCATGAAAACTACATTTAGTCCATGCTTCTTTTGAAATTTAAAATAACTCTATTAAGTAATTTTATAATTTTTAAAAACAAAAATTACCTATATATTAAGGAACTAAAAAATTACCTCTTTAAGTAACGCCCTTGACTGTTTATATCGACCTTTCTCAATATCTAACTGATCAGCATTTATTCTAAATTGAAGTTGTCTTTTTTAATACAGAATTTTCTTAACTTGACAATAATATGATTCCCTTTTGAAGATTTTTTTTTAATTTAAGATAAGTACCCAATTTTCCTTTTTAAACATTTGCATTATCATGTATAGTATTTTGTCCAATAAATCCCATATCTAGTAAAATATTTTTAACCTTTACAACATCAAAATTGTTTATACGAACATCAATAAATCTTCAAATAAATCCAAAACTAGAATACCAAGATGACTTATAATAATTGTGAGTTTCCATACTTTTGATCTGGGATTCTATATATATATGTTACAGCTGAGAAATGGGAAGATGAGAATTGGAAATTTAAAACCATCCCATTAGTACTGTATTCTACTTTAAAGTATTCAATCTGCGTCAATATCGAAGAAAAGATCAAGATATGACGCAAACCTTATAGTTTTGGTAGCATCCTAAACATTAAGTTTCTTCAAAACACTGGAAGGTAAATAGCACTTCAAATAGCAGGATATACCAAGGGGGCAACTAAACTTATAAGTCGAAGAAAGACGTAAAACATTGTGATAAGACAAACAACATTCCATGAAACACAAAGCAAAATACTAAAAATTGAGGAACATGAAAAAGATACCAAAGTGATATTCAAACTCATAAGTCGAAAACAAATTGAAAATGCCATTACTTTTCTATTGCAACAGATATGACAATTATAACCAAACATTAAAACAAATATGACATGATATGTTTAAAGTAAGAATACAGTACAAAGTAGGTTACCGATGTCCAAATCTTATAAATCCCTCGTAATTAAAAGTTCTTTCTTTGTCAAACATATGAATAGATATGTAATTAGAAACCAAATTTTACAGCACAACAGTCATCAGAATTATTGTCTTCCTATAAACATTCCGAATTTGAATTAAATAGTAGTCTTCAGTTTTGATCCAAAGAAATAAGCTAAGCAGGATTCTGCCATTTTGTTTTACAATAATAATCTTGTCGGAAGGGTAGTTTTGGCAGCAGTGAGAATTTAAAAGGACTGTAAACAAAATTTTTTCAAATTAAATAATTCTGGAACTTGTTTATTGCAATTGTTACCCCTTCAAGGTGAATGAAGACAAATTTATTTGATTTTTGGTGGAATGAGAGATAAAAGTTGATTTTGTATAGCTTTCCAACGACTGAACAAAATTATGAAACATTCACTGGTGTAATGCCCAGCGAGAGGTTCTGGAAAGCTTCTGGATAAAAGAACGAAATGTACTTCAATCAAACGGCATCAACAGGAAATACTAGTAGTTTGATAGAGGTGCTCTTCTATTATTCTGTAAATATTCATAAAAACCACGGCATTTTGACAATATTAGATATACATTTATAGATACAAAACCACGTTTTATTAGAGTATTGAGTTTTGTTTTGTTAAAGAGGTGCAATATCAAGGATTAAATCAATATTTATTAAATCGTATTACGGAGTTTTTTTACTTTAAAATAAACAACTAGTATTATAAATATGTGGTATGATTGCAATGAGACAACTACCCACTAAAGTTCAAATGAAGTGGATGTTAGAAATCATAGGCAGCCGTACGGCCTTCAACAGTGAGAAAACCCCATGCCGTATAGTCGGCTATAAAACATGAAACAATTCAGTTGAGAAAACTAAATTTTCTGCTCAGTATCGCCTTTTCTAGACGATTCGTTACATATAATGATTTGCTTGTTGGTTAATTGTTTAGTACTTCGATATAAACAGTTAAGTAAAGATTTCAATAAAACCGTACAAGTACAAAATATAGAAAATTAAAAAAGAAGAAAATACATAATATATATCGTTGTATCACAAGTCGTTAACATTATTCCTACTGGTTTCACTGCTCATGGAAGATACTCATGATAAACATCTATAGTACAACATAACAATGTTAACGTTGTTACTGGTAACGTTATGATACAAACACACTACACAACAAAGGAAGTAAGACATTAAGGATGCATTCTTCTGACTTTTCAGTCTCGTTGAAATCTCGTTCTGAAATTATTTCCAAAAAAATTGATCCAAGTGGAAAATATCAATGAATTTAACAAATGTTATAATCAAACTAAACTCTGTAAACAAATTGTGTATTTACAATGAGTAGTTTTTGAGTATTCCATATTTCAAATTTTATTACCAATCAAATCAGTCATTCTGCCAAAATTTTGAGAAAATAGGTGGGGGTTACAAGAAATGATTTAACCAGAAACATGTACATCTCTTATCACTTTTTTCTTTTCAAATTTCTTAGATATGTATTGTTTTAATCATTTATAACAAAGAAGTAAGATGCATTTTGTTCTTAAAACAGAGAAAAATCACAAATTTACAAAATTGACAGTATGGTAAATTTGACACAAAAAGCATCAAAATATAATAAAACGTTCTTATATTAACGTTTAAATTATAAATTAGAATTGCATAAAACTGAGAAAAAAAAACAACATGAAAACAGATGACCATGATGGATGTCTGTGTAACGTCCAGTAGAAAATTAAATGCATATTCATGGAGAGAACAATATAATGTCATTTAAATATAAACACTGCCATCCTTACCAGACAAATCCTGACTCCGAACCGACCAGTATTTGCTCTTACTCCTATTTGCCACGTTCTTAGTGAAAAAGTAGCAAATACAAATGTTCAAGTCATTGGTTTGACCAGGCCAGGGCTAGAACCAACGGTCTCCCTCACTTGAGGTGAGCAACAGAAAAAACATATTATATATAATATATAAAATAATATTCAACAATCATAATTGAAACTTTATTTTATTCTTTGATTTTTTAATATATATAAAATATATTATTCCATCTCACTTAGTGCTGAAATAGAAATGTTAAATAAATTAGTTTTAAGAAAATAACATTGAACACCTAATAACGGTTGGATGACTGAATAATTGTTGCTTAAAGTAGAAAAAAAATCTTATAAAAACAGAAAGCAATCAGAATCAACAAAAAACAAACAGAAAAAAACAATTGATACATTCTGAATGGTTTTATGTCTTGTTGCATCAGAAAAAAGGTTCTTAAACGTACATAAAACCTCAAGTTTTTGAAACGCGGCGCATCATGGTATATTGCTTTTTACGTTGTTAGACACCAATTCACAACGGGCCTCAGTGGCCGATTGGTCTTAGTAGTTCGACCACTGTATTACAAGCCTGTCAACACTGAGCTCGAATCCCGTACGTGTTAGGTGCGCTCGACTAGGATTGGTAGTTTTCCTACCGAAGGTCGGTGGTTCTCTCCATGCATTCCGGCTTCCTCCACCAATAAAGACTGACCGCCACGCAATAGCGCAATAGTGGTGAAAATGGCGTTAAACACCAATCAATCAATCAATCAATCATTTGTTTCAAGAGGACGAGGCACTATAAAATCCTCACTTTAAATTTGTTGTTTATGTTGATCTTCATAGTCGGTAATGTTTCCATCCATTCCTAACGAATTTCCTTCAGAACGTTTTTTTGTCCGAAAAACCCACGATAAATCTAGAATATTTCTATTGTAATCAAATTCGAATACCATTTTATTTTGTTTTCGTTAGAGAAAACCAAGATGAGAATTCTATTGTATTATGCTACCTTACCTGTACTTGTATATACTATGCCAATACTCAAAGGAAGAAGGCTGATAAGAACAATGTTTTTGTCTCTTATACGGTGAAATCTTTAGAATTAAGGATTTTTTTGATGAATGAAAAACTTTATTTTCTTGACACTGCAATTATCATTTAACAAAAGGGATAAGTTTACAACTTTCGAGCGCGTATAATACTCGATAATTGTGATTTATTGTGATACCTCTTATCTCCTTGCAAAGACCGTTTTATTGATAAATGAAACTCTCCAGCATAATTCGGTAAAAAAAAAATATGCGGTGCACAATTTCAATAAAGGTGAAGATATTGCGATCATTTTATCGAAAGCCGATCAGGTCAACTAAATACACACTTGGTTCTTGTCTAAATACAGAAAAATAGGCTACGTATGTATAATTGCTGTTAGTAACTAAGACACAGTACTTATCATGGCAATGTAAACCGAAAAGATTGTTAGAATGAAGAAGTTGAATACGAAGTGTAAAAGTACATCATGTGAGTGAGATTCTGTGATGGTTTCAACATTTCTGTCAAACAGTTCAAAAGCAGTAGCGGACGGACAGACGCTGCCATCACTATATAACAGCTGCTTCAAAAAAGTGGTGGTATAATAGGCAACAACCTTCTTAAAAATAACATCGACACCATTGTTTGAGACATCGTACATGTATGACGAATTTTCTTGTTTGATAAGGCTGTTGTTCATCTCTTAATATTAATGACAGGATCTAGAAATTAGACAATATCTCTAAGTTTTTCAGTTTCAATTTCGATACTTACAAGAATGCACAAAGGAAAATATACGTAATTAGGTAAATCTGAATGATTAAACCATATCTTGAACCTGGAGAATACTAGAACTAAGAAATTTTAACTTCGTAATATTCATATTTCAAATTGTTCAAAAGACAGGAAAGTAAATATTAGACAAAGCAATAGGTTTAGTTTGCACTGTTTGGAAAACTTTTCTCTCCGTGCGTTCGTATTTTTTTTACATTTGCAATCCTCTGTAATTAAGAAGTTAGGTTACCTATTCAACACAATTTGCTTAGTACATTATATCTAGTATTCAATCATATCTTTCACTACAATTTATAAACTTACTTCTGTCCCATTCGTAATAACGTTCACAATTGTTAAGAGTAACATGGACATTGATGGTGGCAAGCTTAAACTTCACCGTTGAAATATAAATTAAAGAATTGCATTTCAAAATGTTCAACGTCTGTCAAATACTAGTTTTAGGAAACTTATTCGCTCTTGGCTTAGCGTACTTTAATATGTATTGAGATAAATGCTTTTGGTTTTTATTACATATATAAATTGCCTGTAAATAAGGTTCTGTGACAAATCCTTTCTCGATTAACTCAGCAATTATATCATACATTAAGTTGTAATAATGCTGAGAAAAATTATATCATTACAAATACTTTTATACCCAGCAGTTGATTTGATTAATCGTTTTGAAATAAGTCACCACTGCAGGACGTCCAATAGGTTTAATTTTGTGCAGTATATAACGTAAAATAAAAGTGATACGTGGAAGTACAGGTTAAAGAGATAAAAAAAAATGCATCAGATTGAAGTGAACTCTGCGATGTATCTGGTATCATATGTTTATCTATTGAATTTAAAAGCTGTGAAAGTTCGTTGTGGTGTCCTGCTTCCCTGAACAATTTCTGGATTCGCCCGGATCCCTTCCCTCCCAAAAAAAAATAGTTTCAACAAAGTACAAAAAATAAGGATATGTTGTTTACACTGTTAATTTATGGTCTTTAGGTTAACAAAATCATTTAAATAGAATTTTCTATCATGAATTAATACAATTATATCAAACACGACCCCAGAAATGTAAATGGATTGACCCGTTACCCTGACAATACACCTGTGAATTAATTGCTGGTCATTTACCACTGATTTATGACATTTCTTTTACCACAAGTGTTTACCTAAGATTATCTTTGATAATTATAATAAATAATAAGGGACACATTGTTACAGATTATAAAAAATTAGTTGAAATGTTTTATAATCAATTAACCGTACTCAAACATCAATGAAATTTGGTGTGCATAAAGTAAGGACTAAGTGTTCCAAACTACTCAATGGGCGTTTTGTATTTCTAATGCCTAAAAAATCATAATAAAACAAAATAAAAAATAATCTAAATTTTCTCAAATCTCTTGTAAACGAAAATGAACAATTTGTCAACTTAAAAATCAGACTAAGATCGATTGGAAATTTTTTTGCTCGACTAAAACACTTGTTACCGTACCACGAAATTGCAAAGAGACAAAAACAAAAGATAATTGTAATATAATAATTACATACAGATAAATTGATCTAGACCAGAATATCGATCCCCTACCAATGTTCCTCTGGATTTATATTAGCCTTTCCAAGCTAAGGGAGAGTTAAATCTTGGTTTGTCACACTTCCGGTATTCGTTTGAGTCGAAATACTATGTACCTCGAAATATTTCTCTTGTCCAGCTGACTTTGAGATAACGGAAGTCGACTGTATATAATCAGGCCTGTTACAAAAAGTCCAATAATATTGAGTCTTTCTACTAATGTTTTAAGAAATGGGTCTGTAAGCCTCTTCACTATCGTCTCATTTTCATTAGCAGATATTCACATAGGCATTTTGTCATTGTATTCAATTGCCTTTTTTGCGGTACATTATTACAAACAAAATATGATAACATAAATATACTTTCGTGAAATTTTGTATTGATAATGTATTCACTGTTTATTCTTTTTTTTTCTACGCAAACACATTTGGCTTTACAGCATGAAGAGGGTTGAGGGACCCATTTTGGCGTAAATTAACATGATTATCTTCTGAATATAAGACATTATTGAAAATTTACATTTGTTTTGTTAATATTGATGAACATCATATACATAAATATATTTCATCCAATATAATTTTTGTTTTGTTTAAGAATGTCCTTATAATTACCAAACAAATTTTATAATAGAAGTGATTGATCATATATAGTTATCTATAATTTGATCAAATAATTTACATTAAAGACTGTTAAAACCTCATACGAAATTATATTTTAGTAAAGATTGAAGCACTTTTAGACAAACTTTGCTGTCAGATAAATTCATATAAAAATTGCCCAACATTTACTTTTTGATTCAGACAAGTTCAATTACATTATACGAATAAGGAGATGTGGTATGATTGCTAATGAGACAACTATCCACCAAAGTGTAAATGAAGCGAATGTAAGCATATTCTTTGATCTAGATTTAACTTTAATTACCGGGGTTTTATGAGATTTGAACATTGGTAAATATCAAAATCAGCTATTCTTTAACACATCGTTTCTTATCTTTTTATTATTAAAATATCACTTTATGTTTACACAGACATAAAGTTCCTATTACATAAGTGGAATCCGTCATATTGTTTGACAAATCAAAAAAAAAAACAAAAAAAAAAAACATTGATAAGTCGCATTCGTCGAGTAAAAAAACGTTCAAAAGAAGGAAATCTTTGGCTAAAAATATTTTAAACGTACCATTGGTCCTCATTTATATCCCATAACGGTTAACCAAATCAGTATTGCGTCCATATTCCTTTGAAAAGATGAATGGATTAGTCACCAAATGCAAAACACCAGACATATAAATAAGAATGTAATACGCGCGTGCATGCTACATATGTAATACGCACGTTTATATTACATAAGACTCAGCAATTGCATTTTAATCAAAACAGTTGAAAATTAAAACAAATTAGAAAGGTAAAAATCTCTATGAATCAGTCATCCAAATAAGTTGTTTAAAATGTGGATAAGGTCAATACTACCTTGGAATGTTTCGAATATTGTTGAACATTTAAAGAACAGTTTTGTTCACAAAATATTCCCGGAACCATTATATTTTCTGTCAGCTAAGTAGTGTTGCAATACCATATGGACAAAATGTTCACATCTGTAGCAACTATATCATTTAAAACCCTTGCATGGTACATTAGCTTCCATGAAGCGGGAACCCTTGATGAAGTGTATCCTGATAGGAAATACACCATATCACCTGTTAATTTTATACCTCATATACAGATGGTGCGAAAATATTGATGCAAAGAAATCAAAGTTCAGAAACGGATGAATGAAAACTCTATTGTGTTTCAATTTATTTTTTCAATAATCCCTGACTATCAATGTCTAATTATAGGTCTAGATATAAATAAGACTAAAATGTATTTGCGGTCAATTTGATTTCAAATACAAAGTGATTAATGCAATGAACATAGTCATTTGAGTTATACATTTTTTGTTATAGGGACAGAAACCATCATATTTATATCGAAACCTAAAATTAAAGGATAATACTGACTGCTTGTCATTTATTGCAGATGTTATTTCTGTTTTGTATTATGTATTTGTTGGGAGGAAATCCAATTGCTCCAATTATATTTTTATTTTCGAAACACTACAACATATACTTAAAAAAAACTTAAAACTAGTCATAAATTACAAGAAGAACTGCTGATGCGTTCAGTAAGGACTGACTACATCATTCTACAAATAAAAGCAAACATTTAGTACTTATCCAAATGATGTTTTATAAGGAATGCATTCTTAACAAACCATTATTATTGCATTGCCTTTCAAATACAACGTAATATATTTTGTTTAATGATGCTTGCTTTTCAATGAAACAATTTACAAAAGACATGCAAATGTTAAATATTGTCTCCCACGGCAAAACGTTTCGGTGAATAAGATTTTGACATGAAGGATATAAGTAAAACTATTTATTAAAAATCTGATTTTCAGTATGCTATAAATATCAAAATTCCAGTAAGTTAAAATAAAATTTGTTTAGTTATTCTTAGTGAAGTAAATACAAGGATAATTGGCACTACCGGTTTTTCCTTCGCGCAAAATCGTGTTATACCTATTAATTTTGTTACTATTGAAACGCCTAAATTAATTTGATATTTAAAATTCTTCTTGTGAGAAGAAATGGCCGTGTCTGTTTTTGTGTTTGTTTTTAACACTCAAGATATTTTTTTTGTTCAGCCACCTCAGACGACAGTTTAGACAATAATGTATCCCTGTCATCCCAATTATACTATGTAAACTTTAAAATCAATAGAAATGATAAAAATGTTCTCCCCCAGGCATCTATAGCCTAAACCAGTTTGGCAAACGATTTTGAATTTTCGAATTCAAAATGCTCTTCAACTGCCTTAATTTGTTGTGTCATAGTTTATATTGACGTATCAATGATGAGTCTTGAGTAGACGAAACATGCGTTTGGCGTACAAACTTATTAGACTTGTATCTTTGCCGATTTTTTTTTAAACATACCGGCCACTCTGAGTTTGAAAGATGGCATTGAAAGTAAACGCATCATAGATACCAGGATTAACATTTTGTACCTTATAAAGACTCATCAGCCACGCTCGAATCATAAAAGTTAAAAAGTCAAAGAGCATTTAGGATCCAAAATTCGGAAAGGTTTTGCAAAATACAGCTTAGATAATCTATTTTCGGGGTACAAAATCCCTGAAAGACCCGTTCTTTTTCGTAGAAGTTCGACTGTGTCATTCGATGTAGTTTTGTATACTTTATCACCATATCCGTTTATTTTATTTTGTTTTGGTTTTGGTTTTGGTTTGATGCATTTTGTCTTTTTGTCTTTTTGTTTAACACATTGAATTTTGTTCGTAGAGGATTAGCAGGTGAATGAAAATTAGTTTAGTTTTTATTAATCCCGATTAAAGATCGGGAGCATAACTTGTACATTCGGTGTTGTGTGCACTTAGGTTTTTTTCCCCAGTCAGAGATTGTCGGTTTTTAATTTTCTGAAATTTCGTAATTAATTTTGCCGTTCAACTGCGTAAATTTGAGCGCCACTGATGAGTCTTAAGAGGAAACAAGCGTCTTGCGTACTAATTATAAGCCTTGTAGTATGATGAGCTTAGTTACGATGCTCAATACTTTAACATATTTTATATTTCAGGTATATTTTCAAAATGAAGAGCACAGCATTTCTATTTTGTCTTGTTTTCATAGCAATAGGTAACATTTATTCCTTATCAGGTAAAACAGTGAACTCACAGTGAAAAATGTAGTGAACAGTATTCAAAACTAAACTACACACGTGTAATAAATGTGTCTATTGAATGAAAAGTTACCTTCATTTT